AAACAATGAAAGCTTTTACTTGATACTTCATGGAGTGATAGATCTCATTAAGAAGAAGTGCAGTGCACAATAACTGGTACTTTGCACTTAATATTTTTTGAGTTATTGCCCTCTTAATTGTCATACTTTTTTGTACCGGCCATTTCTCCTAAACTATAAAAGTTTTGGACATGAAACTTCACAGGATGATAGGTCTCATCGAAATGATGTGCAGTGCACAAAAACCGGAACTCCATGGTTTTTGAGTTATTGCCCTATGTTAATTTTCATACTTTAATCTTGTCCGGGCCATTTCTCTGCAAATATAAAAGCTATGGACTTGATTATCTGATCTCATTAAGAAGAAGTGCAGTGCTCAAGAACTGGTACTCTGCACTTGTTATTTTTTTAGTTATTGCCCTTTTGCAGTGTTTATAAATAATCTACATTTAAGAAAAACATGCTTAAGTGACGACTATACTGTTCACAAGGCGACACATCCGACTCGCGGAGTTCTAGTTTTTCAAATTATTTCTCAATCAGAAAATAGGAAACAGGTGGCAATAATTCCAATGTCACATATCAGGAAAATCGTCTCGCCTAAGAAATAAACCAGCGACAACAAATACTCTCCCCAGAAGTGTCTTAAATAGAGTATTGACATATAATGTGAATTTAGATAAAATGTTTTTGAAACTGATGTGAAAATATTTTGAAAGAAAACATCCTAATCCAGAATGTGTGATTATCGCAAGACTGTAACATGTGAATATGCCCTACATAAAGTGTTTATTGTAAAATTTATAAAAGTGCTAGATATTGTTTTTGGACAAAACTAATATCTAATAACATACAGTTACTTTAAATGCAAGGCTGTATGATCACTGATAATCAACTCATAAAATTGTAAAGAGTTTTCACAAGTTTTCATATTACTGATAATATACGTGTACGATATACTTTATTGCAGTTGTCAAAACTCATTTGATGTAATGTATAAATACGTGAACATCTGTGGTAACAGAATTTGTCTTTTTGATAGACAATAAAACTACACATAAACTCATTTCCTATTATTCATCAACATGCTAAGTCATATATAAATTATTCATGTCCACGAACAGGCTAAATCTAACTGAGCCTGCAACATTTTCAATTTTGTTGTTTTTGGCTTTCTTTAGGGATTCCGTTTTTCTCTATTTTGTCAAATATCGTATGTTTTGTCAGTTATCCATGTTTATTTTTTGGTTAAAGAAATACAATGCTCATACCTGAGTAAAATATAATCAATCAGTTATTGAAATTTATAAAATTCTTACTGAATATGTTTAGTATGAATAAAAGAATGAATAAACTATGAAGCAGAAGTTGCGTTCTCTATAACATGTCAAATAAAGATGGTACTTTCTTAAAGAAACAAAACAAAAAACCGCCAGTTTTTAATGGCTCTATATTTTCATATTCAGCCCACTTATGTATAGTGTGTAGAGTTTTAAACATAACAAATCTACTTCGTGTGAAATCAAAACATATTTTTTATATTTAAAAAGGTACCGTATAGCAGTTATCAATATTTTCGAAAACCAATTTTGACCATAGACTATCTTTAAATATGTTATGTCAGTTATTCATGACAATATTTTCTTATACATGTCTTTCAATCAACCATGTCGATATTTTGTTATGATATGATTATATCATTTGTCAATCATCCGGGATTTGTTAGATAACACGTCAACTATTCATATCCATGTTTTGTTTTATATTATAAATGTTACTATCTTTGTCAATGTTTGGTTATATATTATTTTGTATTATCTGTGTATGCCAAGATGTGACTCTTCAGTATTGTAGGATATAAAGATATATTACTATTATCTTCACTAAGTTGGGGTTCACAAGTAAAGAGAAATTTATCAAAGTCTCAATATATAACATGATAATGCCAATTAATCAAATACGGGAATGCTCGAAATTATTAGGACCCAATCTTCCTTTTATCAAGTCAAATAGTGATTGATATTGCCTGCTTTATATTTATGAAAGAGTTATGTCTATAAGTTGATGCATCAATATTTAATATTTAAGTTAATTTTTTACATTTAACAGGACTTTTAAGAAATAACCAGTTTTGTTAAAAAATATTTTAAATTGGTAAAGAAAGTAATAACGTCTGCCACTTGTTACAATGGAAGAAAACAGTTGTTTATTACAATACATAAATTGCAAGCAAGTCAATAATACTGTCTGTGATATTGAATTCGCTTGATTTATTTCCAGGAGAGTTTTGTAACATGTACAGTTGCTATGAATTGTGAACATTTTTATTTCACTCAAACCTTGATGGGATTATCATTATTTGAGGGTTGTCCTAAAGGCCGTGACAAAATTTCGGACGATTCTTTTTTATATCCAGTTGGTAATAATTTATATATATAAAAGTATGATTTAACCTAAAATAAGGTAATTTGTACTTTATTTAACTTTTAAATTCTCAAACATAATTAGATAGATCTGAATCCCAGGCGCACGTCAAATAGTCAGCAATTTGTTAGGAATAAGTTTTCAAAAATATACATTTTTCAAATATTTTCCGTTGTGTATGCACAATAACACGTTGACTTCCTTGGCTTATATATTGACGTCATGAAGCTTTTAAACAATCTTGTCACATATTATCGGGACAGACATCCTTTATGCAGGATATGAAGTGTCAGTTTCAGTTTTTGCTTAGATATAATCTCACTGACAAAATACAGAGTAGACACATCGCCTAGAATAGTTCACAAACTTGATCAGAATCGTTAAGCGAACCCATTGTTTACTCACTTTCTGTTAAATAATCGCCATGTTCTTGTCGGATGCCTTCCATTTTTTTTGGCTGGATGTAGAAAAAGACCGTCTGTTTGATCTTTGCTTTCAAATCTTTTATTTGCGAAAACGAATTCATCAATAAAAATTGTTCCTTTTTAATTACTATTTTAGACATAGGGGATAAAAATGCGGTATGATTATTGTTCTAAAGATGTTTTATTTTGTCCAAAATGTAATAAATCGATCTTTCTATTAATAAATCAAGCGAATGAAAAATGAAGAACAAATCATCATTTTAATGTTATAAACACAACTAGAACTGTTTCCATATCAATTACATATAGTGGGCAAATATTGACCAACATTGATTTAAAGAGAACAGAATGGAGAATGGATGTTTTCCAACTCTTATATGCGCGTATTTAATCAAAGGTGTTGAATAATGAAGCATGTTTTAGGAACATCATGGGCAAACAAAGTCAACATTTCAATCAGCCAAGTCTATGTAGACACTTATAGTAAAATGCTTTACATTAAGTGACTTGAAAATACATTCAAATCAAATTCAATCAATATTGTTGTAATTATGATTTTTAGCTCACCTGAGCTAGCTCAGGGTGAGCTTTAATGATCGTTGAATGTCCGACGTCCGTCCACTCTTGTTCGTTAACACTCTAGTGGTCACATTTTTGCCTCAATCATTATCAGGATGCTTATCTAGGTAAAAGCTCGGATGAGTTCGAACATGGGTCATCTCGGATGAAAAACTAAGTCACAGGAGCTAAAAATAGAAAAACCTTGTTAACACTCTAGCGGTCATATTGTTGCCCCAATCACCATCAAACTTTGTGAGGATGCTTGTCTAGGTAATAGCTCTAATGAGTTCGAACATGGGTCATCTCGGATGAAAAACTAGGTCACATGAGCTAAAACTATAAAAACCTTGTTAAGTTTTTTGTGAAGGTAGTGAGACACAGAATTTTACGTTTTAATGAGGTTTCTAACGCGTTGCTATTAAGCATGCGATTGTTACCACTTTTTTTATCGGAGCTGCGTTTTTAACTGGAATTAAATGGAATTTGTGCTGAAAGCATTGTTCTCCCTTGCATATCCTTATATTTAAAATGTGTACACTAATCTGTTCTATAATGACCGTTATATTAACCGATAAAGGTTTGCATTTAACACAATAGTATATGTACTTTATAAAATAAAAGTCATACAGCAATTATGAATAAGCGGAATAATTTACAAAATGTCAGTTCGATAATAAGATTATACAGTATTCCTCATGCGATAAAAGCTTTGTTATCCTCTGAAAATAAATCTAAGATAAAATCATTAATATGGAAGGTTGGCTAATAACGAAGATAATTTGAAAGTACGACATAATTAGCTTAGTGTATCCTTTAGAAGTACGATCAATTAGTACGAGGAGCGTTCAATATTTAATGACGGGCCTCATTTTTCTCTAAGTATATTTGGTGAATCATGTGCAAAGTAACATTATGATACGCTTCAACTCTTTAACTTTCCAACGGTGTATCATACATGTATCCCAATTCACACACGTTTTAAGAAATTTAGTGTTGAAAGTTGAATATTCGATCAACTGCGTATAAAAATGGTTGGAAAAGATTCAGTAAATAATGTTGAAATTCAAGCTTACATCAAAGCGCGTATGACATTTCGGTTAAGTGGTGCAGCCATTTATAAAGAACTTTGTCGTATTTATTGGCATCTGTGGCTAGTGAAAGGACAGTTCAAAGAAGGATTGTTAAGTTTAAAAGTGGAACGGAGTCACTAAACGATGCTAGTGGTAGGGGAAGAAAACACACAGTGGTCACCAAAAACAACATTAAAAAAGTGCAAGAACTCATAAACAAAGAAGCTCGATATACAATTTCTGAAATAGCTAAGTATACTGGCATTTCAACGGGAAGTACATTTACGATTCTAAACAAGCACCTCAAAGTTAAGAAGATTGCAGCCAGATGGATACCACATTTATTGACTGAAAAGCAAAAGCAAGAGCGGGTAAAATGTGCCAAGACATTATTGAAGATGTTTGCAAATATAACGATTGTAAATTTTCTAACATTGTAACTGGAGACGAAAGCTTGTTTCACTTTTTTGAGCCCACACGGAAGGTAAATAATAAGATATGGGCCAACAAACATACCCGTAGGCCCTGTATAGCTAAAAGAATGACTAGCACAAAGAAGGTTATGTATGCCATGTTCTTTGGTATACATGGTGTAGTGACACAAGTTCCTATTCCAAAAGGTCGTACCGTTACTGCAAAGTTTTACAAACGAATAGTGTTAAACAAAGTTGACAAATATTATCGCAAACGTCGTCCAAATACTGGTATGATAGGTCTGTTTCTACTCCAGGACAACGCTACTCCACACAAGGCATACATTGTAAAGAAATTCTTGGAGAGCAAACGTGTAACTGTGCTTAATCACCCACCATACTCGCCAGATTTGGCACCCTGCGATTTCTTCCTGTTTCCAAGATTAAAGAAACACCTTCAGGGTCGCCGTTACAGCACCAGAAATGGAATTGGTTCAGCATTACATCAGTTGTGTAGGGGTATACCTCAAGAAGACTATAAAAAAGCATTTCAAAATTGGATCAAACGTTTGAAACTCTGTATTTTGTTCAAAGGAGATTACTTTCAAGGTTTAAAAAAATAAAAATGGTAGTTGCTTCAAAAACTTTTCATTTTACTATAGCCCCGACACTAATTATTGAATACTCCTCGTAACTGTTTGTAAATCATAATATCACGGCAAAAATTACAAATATATATCTAAACGCGTATTTGAATTATTGGAAAAAAAGAATTGCTAAAATTAAGAAAGAAAAATAGCGTTGATGATTAGAAGATGAATTGTAATTAAAAGCAACAGTGAATATCCTTTCAATTTAGGGGGTAAGCTTGTCATTTATAAAGCTTAAAAACAATATTGAAAAACAAACAAACAAACAAAGACAACACAAAAACAAACCCAAAATAAATCAAACAAATCCTAAAACTTGTGCTACCTATACCTGAACATACATTTAATTTAAATTAAACGTTTTGCTAGGTAAGAAGTAAGTTTTATCTCTTCCTATTAGTTTATGAATGTATTTTATCAATAACATTTATTATAATTGTTAGTCTTGTAGCCGTTTCAGGTATAACTATGAAAACATGGTATATCAATTCAATTTGATTCTTTTTTAAATTAAAAAAGCAGGAAAAAATATAGCTTGATATACTATAATCTACCAACGATTCTTGCAGACACTTTTTCCAGAAAATGAACAATGATACGTCTGATTGTCGGTTTACTTCATTGATCATGGTTTACAAAATATATAAAATGTCGTAATATGAATTTGCTAAAGAGATATCTTACAATTTGTCTTCCTGCCAACAAAATCTAAATAAAACTATATTCTTAATGGTAAAGAAAAATGTTAGCATTTGACATTATCAATAAGCAAGAATATGTTCGTTCAAATGTTTGATTAATGGATGGCAATGTACAAAGTACTTTAAAGAATACAAGTAATATGATATTGTCGCATTTCCTGTGTTTTCATTGTGTATATGTGGCAATAATCTCTTAATAGGTTACAAATTCCATGATTGTTAAATATAATCGTATATAATTTATTTGTATATAGTTGTCTGTTTTTTCCCTATCTCTTGTGTTTTGCTGCAGCAAAAACTTCCTCATATCAACTTTCAAGATAATGCACTTTAAGTAACATTATGCTCATTTTCCCTGTTTTGTTGAGTTGAATGAATTAATAATTCATTTAAAATGAATAAATATCATAATCTTGGTATTTTGCCAATAATTAAAAAAGCAAATGTTTTATGATACAATAAACAACTTTCTATGTCATAAAAAGACCGGCCGCTTTCTTAACATAACTATACATTCTGAACGACGTTTAGGGAAATTTACGTAGGTCACCTGGATTATGGATTAGTTATTTCATAGTAAAATATAAAATTTGACATAATTATGACAAAATGACATCTAAATTTGATTTTACCGGCTTACTGATAATATGCACTTAGATAGGCATTAAGAGTTTTTCTGTTGGTTATGACAAGATCACTATCTTTCAAAATAAAACAATTATAGATGTATATTTAGTCACTGAATTGATATAGTTTACTCTAAATAATATACTGGCATTAACACATGTTTTAAACTTTAAACGTTTAATGACATCTTATAGCGACAAAATGTAATTATATAGTAACAGTAAGCAACTTTTTAAGAATTTCCACACGGACTTCATTGACACTCAAAGGAATTGGTTTCAATAGGCGTTTACTGATGCAGTGCCAAACCCAAACTTCATGTAAGTACACAGCAAAGGGGGAAAACAAAAACATACAAATATATCGAGGGTTCAAAGGTAAAAGGTTATAACTGCCACTTTTGCCGAAATTGACTTTTTATGTTTTTTATAATGTACTTATTGTCCTTTATGTCTGACGAAAATATTATATAAATATTCAATCCTTATAAGGGCAAAAAATTAAAAAGTATTTTGTAATAACTTCTTTTCTACAAATTATTTAGGGGTAAAAGGTTCTAAGTGTACTTATTACCTGTTGTTTACTTGTTGTTCCACATGTTGTGAAGAATCTGTAGTGGAAAAAGGTTATAACTGATTTTATCACCTTTTTCCCCTGACAGAATGCTGCATTCATACAGTTCACAGGCACTATCTGTTATCTCTTTTCCCACGAAATTTATCTTTTAGAATTAAATGCAGCGAGAACATAACCGAATATGAAAGACAGAAAATATTCAGTACATACTGGTCAATGGGTAATTACATAAGTCAGAGGCAATTCATTTGTTTCCATGTTGCCAATAAAGAACCAGAGAATGTATCTAAACAGAGAACAAAACAAAGAACTATTTCGAATTCGTTTTTCACACAGGTAGAAAAGAGGGCGTGAGGGATGTTGCACTTATTCATTATGTCTCATGTACAGACTCAATCAAACCGACTCTGCAATTTTTATGTAATTTTGTTGTGATTAATGCTTCCAAGGGATCACTTTGTTTCCAGAATTTTTTACTACTAACTATCGATGTCGGTTCCAAAAAAGTTGCAAACGCAGTTAAGCACAAAGTGGCAGGGTTATAATTTATGATGGAAATGACAAGAGAGGGAAAGCTGTGCCTGGAAATAAAACCACGGAATATCACAGATCATTTGTAAAGAAACACAACGAAAGCTTTCCGACTGTTGAATCACACTACACACGAAGACCCCAACAGGAAGTAGCTAACGCAATATTTAAATATAAAACGAATATACTCACTGTATGTAGAAAAATGCAAAGGACAAAATAGAAAGTGTGTTTCAGAGGCTGTGTACAGAATCATTTTTAGTACAGAATATAACTTTTTTTCTTCCGTCCTAAGAAAGATCAATATCCACTCTGCAATATGTATGACACTTTGAGAATAGAAGATAGACTAGATGAGGCAACAAAAGCAAAATATCAAGTACACCAAGTGACCAAAAAGAAAAAAAACAGTGCTAGAATGGAAAAATCAGCCGATAAAAAACGCACAAAGAAAGATCCAAAGTTTTCTGTGTCGGCATTTGATATCCAGGCTATTTTGAAAACACCACTCAGTTTAATTGGTGATCTTCGTTACAAAAGAAAACTGTGTTGTTGCAATTTGTCATTCTATGAACTGGGAAATGGTAACGGGACTTGTTATCTGTCGGATGAGACACATGGGGAAACCAGGCTCGTGCAAAGTAGGAACTTTTGTGTACTTGTATGTAACCTCTGTTGCAAGTAAGACATCTGGTATTGAAGAAGTGACATTATATAGTAATGCATGTGGAGGACAGAATTGCAATCAGTTTGTTGCAAGTTGCTTAGTTCACTGTGTCCAAGATATACCTCACATCAATGGTAAAACCACACATTTCTTGAAATTGGCCATTCATTAATGGAATGCAAATTCCATACATGCATCTATCAAGCATGCAAAAAGCCTTACAATAGTTCATGTTCCATCGCAGTGGGAAACAGTTATATCATACCAACGCCGGAAGCAACCATATATTGTCGTTCTAATAAAATACAATGACATACTAGATTACAAGTTGTACAAAGAACAAAACTTTGGCTCAATGAAAATCGATGTTGATGGTGAACGTGTTAATTGGCTGAATATATATAAAATACATGGTTGATTTAGGGATGGATAAGGCTTATCCGGTAAGCTAGAAAGTGTATCTTGGCGAGCTTTAGCAAGCCAAGATTCACTTTCGCAGTGAACCGGATAAACCTTCTCCAGCCCGACATCAACCATCCTGCTTTTAATAATGTTTTTAGAATAATTAAATGGTTTCATTCTTCTTTTTCCCCGATAAAATAACATCTATATGTAGTTTTGTTTTGCTGCTAAACATGTGACGTTATCAAATGACGTAATGACTGGAGATAGATAAAGACAAAAATACAGTATTGTTGTGAGCTATGGTTTTGTGGTTAGTGAGTTCAAGGCAGTTAGATTAATGCAGAAGAAGAACAGAAGCAAAGAAAAGTCTCTTAAGGCTCCACGAAAGGCTTATACAGAGAAGCTTCCAATATCTGCTGCAAAAGCTGATTTGATGTCACTTGTTGCCTCTGGAACAATTCCGAAGGAGTGCGAATCATACTATGAGTCATTGCCATGCAGCAAATCTATAAAAGACAAACTTTCAGTGCCTTCTGTTAGTGAGAGTGAAGAAGATGAGTGGTCATAAAATAATTAATGACAAACATTCACATTTTGTGACATGAAACAGTAGTCTTTATTTACTTAACTATGATATGGGTCACTAATATCCTTAATTGCTGATGTCTGGGGTCTGTTCGACTTCAGTTCGATTATATACCAGAGAACATTCAAAATAAATGAAATTTGTAAACTTAGATTTTAGTGCGTATTTTCGTAAACTTTTAGTTATTAATTTATTTCTGTAGAATCTAAATATTGAGCAGGTACATATTTCATATTTCTATGAATGAAAAGTGTTAATTTTGTGTACGAGTATTAATGTGCATTGTGTTAATTACATTACGTAAGGTTCTTCAAAGTAAGGACATAATTGATAAATTTGCAACAGTAACAATTACTGCAACATCTAAATTTTTCAGAGGAACAAAGCTATAACTGCACTTATAACCTTTTACCACAGTTTATCTCTAACTTTTATTGCTAAACCTTCAGAAGTAAAAGGTCGTAAGTGCAGTTATTACCTTTTACCGCTCAAACTTGTAGTCTTGACAGGATCTAAGTACATTTATTACCTTTTACTTCTGTAAAATGATATTATTTTGATCTTAGAACTTTAAAACAAACTATAATTACAGTGTTTTATCAGCACCAAGCAATGTAAACTAAACAAAATATGACCTAATGTAGTCAACAAATATGGGAGAATCAAAATTGTTATAACAATATTACGGAAAATAAAGTTGTATTAAAAATATGTTTTTTGCGTTTTTCTCGAAATCTTGAAAATGTCAGTTATTACCTTTTACCTTTGAACCTTCGATATATAAAATAAGAGCTTAACACTTATCTTTTAAATGTTTTAGATTATAGCCTGGACAAAAAAGACAACAAAATCAATAATGAAATTTAAGTTAGGAAATATA